ATTGAACCCGTGTTGCAGAGGCTGCAGGCAGCTTCGCAGCCCAGTGCTCAACCGCTGCGCCACCAGGGGAGGCCCAGTCCCATAGAATTTCCTTCACCAATGCACCCATTACTTTTCACTGTTGTTTCTAGTAAGATGAAGTGCTCAGAAAAAAACTGACTTAGAATGAAGTATCTAGTAGTGGTTTTACTTGACTCCCTGGGGCATGAGGGGGAGGCGATCACTCTTACCTTTGCACTGAGACTGCTGATGTGGACAGAGGTCAGGGACTGGCAGTTCATTTTGATTGGCTTTGGGATAGTGAGTAATGCAGTGCCTGAAAGAGTGCTTTGGGCCAGATCCTGGAAGACACTGGAAGAGTGCTTTGGGCCAGATCCTGCCCCCGCTCTCCCTGCTAGGTGGGGACAGCAGATTTCTTCTGGGCAGGACAGGAAGTATCAAGAGTTGCTGGTACTTCAGATAGATCCTGGGGTTCATTCATTCCTTCGCTCTCTTACTCCACAAGCATTTCCTGAATATCAGTGTCCCAGGCACTGTGCCACAAAGAGGCACAAACATAAACAGGTGACAGGCATCTCTGCCTCTGTCAGCTTGAATATTAAAAGAGCTGGACGTGAAACAAATAATTACACAAACGGTCAACTTTGGTAATTGTGATAAGTGTTGGAACCTTTTCTTAAAGTAACTGAACTTCCTCTTGGTACTGCTTGGCCTAAAATGCATAATGCTACAGTAGCTCACCCTTGAGAAAAGGAAATAGAGGCCAAGGTCCCCGGATGAAGCGTTCGAATTACATTCACAAATCACGTGATCAGATAGAGATACTCTTAGGATAGCACTTAGTGAATTTGCTTGTCGTCATTGTCTTTGTTTTCGGAGATTATGTCAGAGTTAAATCCGGAAGTAGGCGCAGGAAACTAGATAGTTTCAATGCTTGTGGTCTTCAGCGTTGGGGAAAAGGAACTGGAGGGTGCAGCCATGTGCACTGTCCTTCCTCCTGGGCACAGTAGGGTCTGCGGCTCTGTCCAGAGCTGCGTTGGCTCCTCTAGTGCTTAGTCAGCTTATTAAATTGGAGTTTTAGACCTTTAAACATTCTTCATACTGTTTGAGGAAGCCACAGTTAACATCTCCTAAGCAATTCAATGGAACTAGGTTGCTAGGCAGCAGACCTTTAAAGACAATTTGTCAATTTCTGCCAAAAGAGAGAAAAATAGTAAACATTCACATTCTTAGAAAATTGCTTGTTTTCCAGCTTCCAACTTTCTTGCCACAGCAAGCCCTCCAGTTCATCAGTGTCCATTTTATTCTTTATTTAGTTTTCATAAATAATTCAGAGGTGTTTTAGCAGAATAATTGAGCTCTTTTTCAAGCCTAACTTCTGGCAATTCAAAACAAAAGGATATTTGGGTCACAATCAGCTTGCCATATTTGTGAACAGGTTTTATGTAAGTGTACAGAGAATCCCTTGGAAGGTACACCATACCCAGCTGTAGCCTTGGGCAGCAACCCAGGAAGGGTGGAAGTCCACGGAAGATGTTGAGTCATTCAGCCTGTGTTGGCACCTAGCATGTGCCAAGCTTGTGTGCACAGTTGGCCCCATACCTGTGGCTTGGCCAAACCTCACTGAGCTTACCTTCTAATGAGGGGCACCCTGTAGGAAACCAGGAGGTTCCAGTCCATGAGAGTTCAGAGAAAGCCCAAAACTAGCCTGAGTTCAAGGAAGGCCTCCCCGAGTAGCTGTGGGCTGATCCAAGATCTTATGGGTAAACAGTTCCACTTTGGCAAAGGAGAAGAGTAAACCAGCAGGGTCCTTCCTGGGTGAAAGTGCCCAGCAAACTGCAAGTACATCTCTGTAACCACAGCCCTGGTAGGTCCTGCAGCTCAGCCTGAGGGCAGAAGGAAGACACTGGAAAGCTACTAGAGGCTTGGAACTTGCAAAGACCAATGTCTGATTTGCATACTCCAGCTTTTTATTTATTTGTTTGTTTTAGATTTATTTTACTTATTTATGCATACAAGAGCTGGGGTATAGGCCAGAGGTGCCAGGGGATGGGGGGAATGAGAGGATTCACCAGAGACAGAGTGTGGAGCAGAACAGGTGGGTTGACTGAAATACACTGCTGAGGGGAGTAGAGGGCGAGACGGGAGAAGTCTGCTGTGCCATGTGGGTTAGCTCCCTGGCCAGGGATCGAACTCATACTGCAGTGGCTGCGGTTAGCTTCACAGGGCTAAGATTTAACCCCTTGCTCCACCATGTAGGCCCCTGCATATTCCATCTGTTTCAGAAGACGCCTAATTTCAGGTTGATTCAGGCCATTGGCAGTGAGCACTTGACCTAGCGGGATGGCACGGGGACTGTGGGAGAATGCTGGATGGCTCTGGAGTTGTCTTGGCCTGGATTCCTTTGCCACTTCCACATGTAGAACCTCAAGAAGGTTATTTAACTAACTTGAGTCCCAGGTTACTTAAGAGTAAAATAGGGATGATGGTAGCATTTGCACTAGCACTACAGAGTTAGTATAGGGACTAATAATAAATTCAAGGCAGTCCTTAGGCTGGTACTAGGCCCAGTACCAGTGCTCTTTAAATGCTTCTGCCTGAAAGGGCCGCTGGTGTCTAGTCTGAGTGTCTTAGGATGAAACTTGGAACTCTCTTGGAACCAGACTTTCTCTCTCTGTTGACTCTCCCTGACCCAGTTGAGGGTCATTTGAGTTCGTAGTGATATGCCTGTGCCTGGGTCAGGGCCACCTCTCCCGCTCTGGTCTCTGCCTCCAGCTTGGGCAGCACACTGGCCCTTGGGTTTTAAGGCCTGCAGGCTAAAGGCTGTGTGTTGCTCTCTTCAGGTTCCCTCTGCTGGGGAGTTCCGCTTCGGGTACATCCAGTGGCTATCTTCCTCTGTTAACTGTTAACGGGGCCTCAAAAAACACTGCCAAGGAGATAGCTGGCAACCTCAGACTGATCAGATAATTCCCCAGAGACCCTTTCATTCATTCACGTAGTCATTCTCTCAGCCATTATTAAGTACCTTCCTTGTGCCAGTTCAACATGCTAGGCATTGAAAATGGAGCAGAAGGACAGCACAGAACAGGTGTGGCGGGGTTGTGACAAGAAACAAGCAACCTAGGTAAGCCAGTTACTTTCCAGAGTGTAAGGGCCGGGCAGTGAGGCAGGAGGATGGTAGGGAAGTGGTTCTGTTGTGCTGCCGCTGTTTCCCAAGCCAAGCAAGGGTGATTGGAATAAGAATCCCAGAGGAGGTGACATTTGAACTTCAGCCCAGGCTGAGGGAACAAGAGGCTTCAAGCTCATCCCTGTCTCCTCGGAGGGGCACATCATGACTCTAAGCTCTTGAGGAGTTGATTTCCGGGGTGAGATGACAGGCTGACTTAGGTCTGTGTGCCTCTTGGCATCAGAGCAACGGAGCTTCAGATCTCGTGCCACTTGGCTGCTGTGGGTGGGCACACTGAAGGCTGTCGTGAGGCCCTTTTGGGCTCAGTTCACCCCTGCCATGTCCTTTAGTCAGGCTCAGAGGGAGATGACCTAGGGCCAGCCTTGCTAGTGTCGGTAGAGGCTTCAGCTGGGAAAGGCCCCAGCCAGCAAATGGGGGCTACTGCAGGACCCCACAAAAGCACCCAGCGCTCAAGTTTCTGTTCTCATATTAGCCATCTTACTGCTTGCTAATAAGATATGCAAATGATCTGGGTTGTGAAATCTTCACCACATTCCATCTTCTGTTTAATTAGCATTTAATCGTAATCTCATTTTAATTTTTTTCACACTGGCACCCTAATTAAATGTTAGGGTGTTAGTCTTAACAATTAAATTATATTGGCAAATAGAGTCTTCAAGAAACTTGACCTTTTTCAAGCCAGAGCCATCTCTAGCTAGATACAGACATTAATTAGATTTCTGCAAGATGCTGCCTCCAGCCCCTTTAGTGCCTGCATTTCAGTTGTTTTCTTGTGGTTGTGGCCCTAGATTCAAATGAAGCACACATAGCTAGTGAGTTCGGTCCCCAACAGGCAGAGGTTACCACTGAATAATTTCACTGAGTGTCTGAAGGCCAGTGGGTGCGTTTTCCAGAAAGGGATGAGTTTAGAGTTTGGGCTGATGCCTGGAACACTCCTTGAAGTGGTTTCTCTTGACACAGTAATGTGAATTCTCCTTTAACTTGTGATTCTCACGTGATTATCACTGGGAAGTTAGTACCTATGCAGGTCATACAACGTCTGGATCTGCCACCAAGTCTCACAGCTGCCCTTTGGAGAAGGCCATGGGGAGGTCAGCAACTGGGGTGGGAGAGGCATCGCCAGTCCCAGCTGGCATGGAGGGGGCAGTAGACCCATTAGGAAGAGCAGTTTCCCCTTCAGTGAGCGGGTGTCAGAACTGGCTCAGGGAATTGGGTGGACTCAAGAAGGAATGCAGCCCCGTCCTCCTTGTATCCCCTCACATGTGTGGCAGTGCAGAGCCCCTGCCAATCCGGGATCATGCTTGTTCTTCATAGACCCTGACCACGGGAAGCCTTTTTCTGGGCTGCCCCAAACTTCAGCTCTTTGGGTAATATCCTGGCTTTTCATTTTCCTGGGGTTGGAGCCCTGCACTCTCCTAGCTCCACTCGTGCGTGTGGTTGCAAATACCAACTTCATCTGTAAACCTTCAACAGGAATTCCCTGAACATTCACTTAATGACAGTACTGCATTCACAGAGCCTTCCTGCCATCTGCTTTTCTCCCTCTTTTTGCCTTTCTTGGCAAGTCTTTCCTCTTCCCTCTTAAGTCCACTCCCATCATCACTCACTCTGTAACAAATCAGAATACATGGGAACTAAATTTGGCACATTTATTGAACACCTACTGCGTGCAAGTGGGTTTAGAGAAGCTGCTTCATTGTTCTTATGCTTGTCTGTTGCCCACTAGAGTTGCATTTGCCCTTGTTTCCCTTGCCTGTGGCGGGGAGACCACCCTGGGGTTGTCTGACTCTACTTTCTCTCTCTCTCCTGACAGGTTTTCCGGACAGACTTGATCACCGCCATGAAGATCCCAGACTCATACCAGCTCAGCCCGGATGACTACTACATCCTGGCTGACCCGTGGCGACAGGAGTGGGAGAAAGGTGTGCAGGTGCCCGCCGGGGCCGAGGCCATTCCGGAGCCTGTGGTGAGGTGAGCTGGGGGCCCATAGGCCTAAAGGAAGAGGAAGCTAGGATTGGGTAAGGGACCCACTAGTCCAGGATTTCTTTCTAACCTGTCTCTAGTCTATCTTTGATTCTTTTGTCTCTTAAGCCTTTGAAATGTCCCAGAAATACTGGCAGTTTATCTTTGAGGCTGGAACCAGAAACAAAATCTCCCTGGGCCTCTGTTTTCTTACCCGTGAACTGGGAATAACAATGACCCTGACCTCTCATTGTGATGGAGGTGATGCAGGGGAACGGTGTGTGGCAGGTACTTGGCAAAGGGCCTGGTACTTACAAGCACTCAGTTAAAACTGGATTCGTTTGATGTCAGTCCAGAGCGGGTTCCACAGCAAATCTTGTCAGCAAAATCTCTGGATGCTCCACTAGTTCTTAACACAGGGATAAGCCATGCCTCTGGTTTCTTAAACCTTTTTAAGGAGTTCTTAGTGGGAGGGAGTCAAGTGCCTGGCATGCAGCAGATGCTCTGGAACCAACCGTAGTGACCAGCCTCTGAGGAGGCTCCCTATTAGGCTGGCTCAGGGTTGAGTTTTTTCTGGGCTCTGTAGCCTTCTGGTCTTATGCGACAGAGAGACCCCAGGAGGTGGCCTCGTGGCCATAGGCCTTGCCTCCAGAGACAGAGTTCAGCCAAGTGCTTTCTGTACCTCGGGAAGCCCTCCAAGTCATGTCTCAGGCACAGGGGCCTGCTGTCCTGGACTCATCAGTTTGTGTTCCTGGCAGTCGCGCCCTGGCCTTGGCATCCCCGTGACTCTTTGGTCCATTTTGACCATGCCTGGGGCAAAGATCACCAGAGTGCCTTCCCTCGATGCTGGCACCATTGGTTCCCGGCAACCATACCTTCGACTGGTCTGTGGTCACTCAGTGCTCGCTAGATTCCAGACCTGTGCTAGGCATGGAATTAGACAAAGCTGAAATGAAGCCACACTTGGGGGCTTGGAGAGAATTGCATGCTGGCCATGCTGTGCCTCCTGAGGGCTAAGTGCCTACCAACCATTGTCTGAGGCACTCCAAGAATCAGGGAAGCTCCAGGCCTCTCTGGAAGGGAGGATATGCAGAATCTGGACAAAGAATTTATTCTTGACATCTATTGGTGTGGGTCACACTCCTAGCCCATTTCATCCCCACAACTGTCACTGACCTTTCTTTTTTTTTTAAAGTGACAGCCCATTGCTTTCACTATACATTATTTAGTTATTTATTTTTAAAAGATTTATTTATTTATACAAGAACTGGGGTACAGGTCAGAGGTGCAGGAAGGTGAGAGAATTCACCACAGACAGGGTGGGGAGCAGAACAGGCAGATGGACCGAAAATGCTGCTGAGGGGAGCAGCGGGCAAGGCAGGAGAGGTCTGGGATTCTCCCTGGCTGGCTGGGAATCAAACCCGCACTGCAGAGGCTGTGGACACCATTACAGTATGGAGCTCAATTCGCTGTGCCACTGGGGATGGCCTATCACTGATCTTTTTGACCCTGTTTCCAACTCTGACATATTGAGAGAAGGGCCTAGCAATGTGGGGCTAATACCTGATGGTGTAGCAATGAGGATTCGGTCAGAACTCACACACCAAGGGCCCGGGGTGACCAGGAGGAGGGGGGTGGGCCACTATCTGGGCAAAGAGAGAGGAATGTCCTGCTAAGTTTGACCTAACAGTCTGTTTGCTCCCCTTGATATCAGTGTCAGGTGGTTCTGGAAACATCTGCTGGACTGAGTAATTGCAGATGCCTCCACACCAGTAGCTTGGCTTCAGTCTGCTTGCTGGTGCTTTATCTGCCGGCATCAAGCACGTGTTCAGACAGCACTGGCTGTACTAAGTGCATTCCCAGCCTACGCACCGCTGCTGCAACTAACAGAAGCCAGGCTCTCCTGGCCTGTCCGGGTACAGACCTGAAGTGGAGAGGGCTGCTCCCTTGCGGAGAGCTCTGTGCCCCTTCTTTCCCTGTCTCCCTGCATCCCTGTTCCTCCCTCTCACTGGTTGCCACCCACTGATGGCCGTCATCTGGAAATCTAGCACAGCAAGGATTGTTACAGGAACTGAGAACTTTCTGTGCTGAGTCTGTGTTCATCTTCTCGTCACATCGGTTCTCTGAAGTACATGTTACTATCCCCATTTTATAGATGAGGAAGTTGGGAGGTTCTGGGGAATTCCCTGCATGATTGCCAGAGTGATCTGGGCCAGGAAATCACAGACCTTGAAAACAAGCCCTGGGTTGCCCCCGTGAGGCCCACAGTCATGTTCCCAGATCAACCTTGCATGCTGGTGCTGACTGGCCTTCCCCAGTCGCTCCCCTAACTCCTTCCTTCTTTCCCTCCTCCCTTCCTTCCTCCTTACCTGATCCCCACGATCCTAAACTTGTCTTGGTAATGAGAACCCACCTTGCCCCAGATCGTCAAAATTGAGTATAGGCGTGTGCTGTTCTCTTGAAGTGGCCAAAAGACTCAGCCCAGGGCAAAACCAGCCTCAGGGGTTCTGTCTGATCTTCAGGGCTAGGGTCCCATCCTCAGCCTCAGATCCTCAGTCTTGACGTAGGGTGGGATGGGTCTATGCTTGGTAAAAGAGCTTCCTTCGTAGCCGGAGAGAGAAGAGGCCCAAGGTCAAAATGAGAACCCCTTGAAGCAGGAAATACCTCTTCTGGTGTTTCCCTTTAACCCTGGCTTCTCAGAGAAAGGAATGTGACTTTGGCCCCAAGTGGTCTGGCCAGGTGACATCTGATTGAACACACAGGTGTGGGCAGTTAGTCAGCAGGTAGTGGTCCTTCAGATGGGAGTTATTGAAAACCCCGACTAAGCACATGCTTGAGGCACAAAGCAGGGTAATGCCAACACTATTTTGTTTTGTCTTGTTTTGTTTTTAAAGGTTTTCTTTATTTCTTGATTTCTCAATGCTTTTTTTTTTAAGATGTATTTATTTATGCATACAAGAGCTGGGGTACAGGCCAGAGAGCAGGGGGTGAGAGGATTCACCAGAGACAGAGTGGGGAACAGAGCAGGCAGATTTACCGAAATACACTGCTGAGGGGAGCAGCGGACGAGACAGGAAAGGTCTGCCTCGCCATGTGGGTTTCTCCCTGGCCGGTTGGGGATTGAACTTGTGCTGCAGAAGCTGTGGATTGCTTTGTAGTGCGATGCTTATCCCCTTGTGCCACCAGGGAGGCCCTGTTTTGTTTTGTTTTTTAATTCAAACAAGAGACTGATGGGGAAAGGCAGAGTTCTGTAGGACTATGAGAGTATTGGTATTGCATCTCATGGGAATGACCTCGGGGGCTCTCATCTAAGCATTATCTAAGGGCTTTCTTCATCGCAGCCTTTTGTGTAGGAAAAGGTGGCACTAAATGTTCTCCCTTCCTCCTTGCTGCCCCACCTCCACCACCCCTGGGCGTCCCTCCTGGCATGGCCTAGAGACCATTTTGCCTCTCCATCCTTCCTGCTCCTTTTGCTCACCCAGAGTACTTCCTCTTCACAGCTGGGCCATGTCTCTGTGCCACCCAGGGCCCTGCCCTTCCCTCCACAGTCTGCGCTGAGTCACAGCCCCTGGCAGCTCTGCCTCCAACCCCAGGAGGCCTCTCCGGCAAGTGAGGGGCCTCTCAGCCCTGGCAGGACTGGCCAGATGGAAGCCAGGCTCCACAACAATAACCATGGCAACCAGTGGGGGGTGGGAAGAGCTGGCATTTTAAACTGGCATCAGGACCTGAGGGGCAGCACACAGCTGAGCAAAGGGGAAACTGTGCCCTCCTAAGGCAAAATGCCCTCATAGTCTATTTCAGAAGGAGCGAAGCAACTCCAGTGATCTTACCAGACACACAGAGTGCTGGACTGTGTGCCCAGCACTATTCTAAGAGCTTTACATCTGCCCATTTAATCCTCATATCAGTGATAGAAGATGGGTACATTTATTGTTACCCCGTTTTTTGGATGAGCTTTCTAGGGCACAGAGAAGTTAAGTGGCCCCCTGGAGTCTCACATTAAATGGTGAAGTGGGGCTTTGAGTCCACTCTGAAGCCAGGACCCTTCCAAACTGCCTTAGGGACAGAGACCTGGCCCGAGTCTGGGACTGTAGAAGGCACCTATTTGTATGGAGATGGAGGGGCAATGTAGAGAGAGACTTCTGCTCAGTTAACATTGTGTGTAGGGGAAGGACAAGTTGTGTGGGAACACTATGTCCTTTGTGGCAGTAGACTAGGCCACCTAGCCTCTGTGCCTGAGGCAGCTAGTGCAAAAGGGGGTCAGGGCAAATGCGGTTAGTAGTGTGTCTTGCAACCCAGTTCCCAGTGGATATGTGGGCACTGATATTTCCCCACACCAATAAGCAATGCTCTGATACCAGCAGGGTACCTGAAAATTCAACTCATTTCTGACACTGTACCTGGAGTTTCCACTGGTTCAAGGGCTCAGTCTCCTGAGGCCACCCTCTGCTTTAGAAAGTAGCTGCAGGCCCTGGCAAGCCTGCACTCTGGCCAACTGCTCTAGATCTGAGGTCCCAGGATGCCCCCTCCTCAGATTTTAGGTGCCCATGGCAAGCCCCAGATTGTTATCTGTGCTTCTGACCACCTGGCTATAAATCAAAGGTGTCCAGGATGCCCTCCCTGAGTTCGATTAATTTAATAAATCAGTACACAGAACTCAGGAAACCCTTTTACTCACTAGATCACTGATTTATTACAAAGGTAAAGAATAGGAATCAGTAACCGGATGGAAGTGATACATAGAGCAATGTATGGGGAAGGCGCAGCGCGCCCGTACCCTCTCCAGGAGCGGCATTCAAAATCCTCCGCCCCTTCCTGGTGGGCTCTTATGAGGGCTACATTACCTAGGTATGGCTAATTAAACCATTGTCCTTTGGCAATTGAACGACACATATTCTTGCTAAGGAAATCGGGCTGGGACGGAAAGTCCCACATTTATTCTCGTTGGTTTTACTGACAATCATCTCCTTGACATCCCTCCCCCTCTTCTTAGGTGTTTTCCAAAAGTTACCTTCATTAACATAGGCCATGAAGAAAAACAAGACACCAGTTTACACCTTTATGGCTCTGAAGTTTACTCAGGGACTGAGAACCTGAGACCAAATATTACAAAAGATGCTCCCATGTTCTAACAGCTCAGGAAATTCCAAGGCCTTTGGGGCAAATACGTGCTTGTCACTGGAATAACCAAATGTGTGTGTGTGTATACATACACACATTTATACGCGTATATATGCACACACATATATCCTTAAATCACAGTATCGCAAGTGAGGGGACAGTCCCAGGCCTTTCCCCAGGGGCCTGGAGGATATGCTGAACAACCTAGAGCTGAGCTGACTCATTCCACTTTTCCCAAGGTGACTGTGCCTAGGACAGCATTTGGAATGCCTCTTACGTCTGCGGGGTGGGCAGGTGGGAAGAGGAGGTGTAAGGAGAACAGATTGAAGGGTCCAGTCTCTTGAGGTTAGAAGTGGACCCTATTTGGCATCAAAGTGCACACTTCACTTGTCCACTACTTCCTCAGCTGTAGGCCTGTTACAGGGCAACCCCAATGTGAAATGGGGTGGCCTGAATGGGTCCTCACCTGTGTGCTTAAAAGGGGCTTATAATGAGACCCAACCGCAGGTACACGTAAAAAGGGTAATAAAGGGCTTATTTACTAAGAGGGGAAATGAAGAAACGAATGACTCAGGGAGAAAAAGAGAGATAAATTGGTGAATGTATCTTACCAGTTCCGCTGAGCTGGAACCCCAATAGCACCCTGAAAGCTGGTGAAAAACCAAGGACCCCCAAGGCCTACCTGTCTGGTAATATACCAACCCTGGCTGCTTAACTCCATTCTTAGTTCCCAGCAGTCCTCCCTTTGGTAGTGATGACATTATAGGATTTGTAGTCTTTGGTGTCTTGGATCTCTTTAGTCTGGGGTAGGAGTGGGGTCCATAAAGCCTGCTTGTGGCATTTTTTCAGGACATCCTTCCCCCTCCACAGGCCAACTAACTGGGAGCTTCGTGGACCCAGTGAGGATGCCAGGCTGAGTGCTGCTTCACTCACGACATCCCCTCTTGATTTCCTAGGCTCCTGCCACCACTTGAAGGCCCCCAGGTATCCCCTAGCAGCTACGAACTTGGCGAGGGCTCCCAGCCTGATTGGCCAGGGGGCAGCCGCTATGACCTGGATGAGATTGACGCTTACTGGCTAGAGCTCATCAACTCAGAGCTCAAGGAGATGGGTGAGTAACCTGCCAAGCTGGCTGGGATGGGGAGCCCAGCATCTGAATCCCAGGGTCCTCACCCTCTGCAGGGCAGTGGCCACAACTGGGCTTTGGCATGGCATGGTTCTGGGGAAAAGTCCCTGTTACTTTACTGATCAGAGAAATTATTTGGTGCCACTGTGCATTGGTTTCTGTAGCAGTCCGATGAGGGTGATAATAGCACATAATTTACAATTCTTGGGAATATTGCAGTAAGTGTGAATGTTAAGTGTAAAGTAAGCAAGCACACAAGTGACTCTAGGGTAACAGATTGGACTGGGTTCTGTGCATCGGGCTCCTAGCTGGAGCCCACTGACACTTCCTAGGAAGGGTTATTCTCTTGAGGCTCTTCCCATACACAGCGCAAGCAGCAGATTCCCCATGAAGCCAGCCACATCCAGACACACTTCCATGTTCTCTGCATGTGCAAGTGTGTGGTCACAAACATGCTGCCTCAAGTCAACACAAAAGGCCCCAGAGCTTTGGGATTTGGTGGTCCAGCCTATTTAATTTTCAGATGGTGGAGCAAAGGCCGGACAGGGAATGAGTTTTCCCAGGTCACATAGCGAATGAGGGGACCCTCCCCATTTGTGCACCCTGAGAGACTGACTCAACTTGCTGCCTGGCTGTCCTCACAGAGAGGCCAGAGCTGGATGAACTGACCTTAGAGCGTGTGTTGGAGGAGCTGGAGACGCTGTGCCACCAGAATATGGCACGGGCCATCGAGACGCAGGAGGGGCTGGGCATCGAGTATGATGAGGACGTCGTCTGTGACGTGTGCCGCTCTCCTGAGGGTGAGGATGGCAACGAGATGGTCTTCTGTGACAAGTGCAACGTCTGTGTGCACCAGGTGGGCAGCCCCCGATCTGCCTCCCCCATGCTGTGTCCTCACACTGCCTGGGCTTGGTCATCTCACTGCAGGAGTACAGGGGCACTGAAGGCACAACTTCCCCTGCAGAGGGGGAGGGCAAATGAGGCAGGGGGCTGGCAGCAGTGCCCTGTGCAGCCAGGGCCCCTGGGCTTAGCCCTGTTCATCAGACTTGAGTAAAAGCCCTGTGGATGGTCTTTCTGTCCTCTCCTGTCAGCCTCCCTCAGAACCTCCCCTCTACACACCCTCTTCCTGCCCTTTGGAAGTATAATTTGCAATCGTATAGTGACAGAGAGCAAAGCCAGGTTGCAGATTTTCAAGTCATGGCTCTGCCCTTTATAAGTTATGCGATTTGGGGTAAGTTTCTTAATTTTCCGGCCACTTTTTTCTCAAATAAAATGAAAGTAAGTTGTAGTGAGGCTTAAGTTACTTCCTGGGGGTTACATGCTTAGGATTGGCAGTAAGGGTTTTCCTTATTTGTCTCCATCCTTGGTGTCCAGGCCCTCTCTTCATCTTGGGCCTCAAGGCTGTGGATCTTGGTCATCTCTGGCCCTTATTTGCAGAAGACCTGACCAGAACCCAGTGTACCCACTCTGGCTCTGACTTTAAAGTGCCCCTTGCCCACTGCTTCTGGAATTGCTTCTGGGGAACCCAGGTGCTTCCCCTGGCTGGCAGGTGTGTAGGTAGTAACCATCATTATCCACATACCTTATGCCCAGCAGCACTTAGATCCTTAAGCCCTAGGCATGACCAGGAGGAGCCTGGTTCACAAATCCCTGGGAAAAAATAAAACAGCTGTGGGCTTTGGCTTCAGGCAGTACACAAACCCAAATTGGTATTCGACTAAAGGGAATCCCTGAAGTACATCACTTGGTTAAAGCAACTGTCCTCCCAGTAGAGGGCAGGCCTGAGCCCTCCCAGAAAGGACTGAAATGGTGACATTTTAGCCACACAAAGCTGGCAAAGAGCTTCCCAGGAGCCCTTGCATTATAATACCTCCAGGGGTCTCCTTGGCAGAGGCAAGTGGCATTGTAGCCCTGTGTCTCTTAGCTCAGGGCTGGGGCTGGGACCGGGACCATTTGGTACTGACTGTTGACCAGACCAGGTAGGCAGTGCTCTTGTGACCATCCTGCTCTCTCCCCAGGCGTGCTATGGGATCCTCAAGGTACCCACCGGCAGCTGGCTGTGCCGGACATGTGCCCTGGGTGTCCAGCCAAAGTGCCTGCTCTGCCCAAAGCGAGGAGGAGCTTTGAAGCCCACCAGAAGTGGGACCAAGTGGGTGCACGTGAGCTGCGCTCTCTGGATTCCTGAGGTGGGCAGATGTGGGGGTGGGACGGCCCTGGGAAGTGGGTCTGCGTGAAACTCAGGACTCAGGAGAGTTTTAGGAAGAGAAGTGATGGCCCATGTTTAAATGGGGTGCTCTCAGGTGGCAATCCTGGGAAGAACTCGACAGCAGCCATAGGAACCTTTGCCTATGCACCTGGGCAGAACTCAGGTGTGCATTTCATGGGAAGATGGGATTAGGAGCCCTCTGGCTCCAGGTAGTAGGTCTGAGTGGGGACAGAAGTCGGGCAGCTGACTACAGGAGAATGCAGGTGTTGAGTCCATCCATACCTGGAGAGTGGATCCAGCCGGTCAGGCCACCTGCTCAAAGCAAAAATAAGCCAACTACCTCAACTGAAAAAACAAACAAACAAACAAAAAACCAAAAAACGCTGTCACCTGAAAGGAAAACAAAAGAAAAATAATAATAATTTCAACAAATTAAAGGAAATCAGGCCCAACTAAGTGTTGTATGGTAGGCCTGCTCCTGTGACTGGGACAGAGGGGCGGTCCTGGTCAGGTGAGGGGGACTGTGGGTGATGGACAAGGCTCACAGTGAGTTAGAGGAGGCCTTGGGCTCCCCGGAGGCCATCTTGTTTTATTTGGAATGGGAAATGGAAAAATTCACCAGAGCTTAAGCCTCGGTGCCTCTGTGTGTCCTGACAATGAGGCTGCACTACACTGCTGCTTGCGCCCGGTGGCCTCCCCTTCCTGTACTCGAGGTCTGAAGGATGTTGCAGACTTCTGAGGTGAGATGGTTGAATCAGCAGTAGTAGTTTCCTCCCACATCAGCATTGAAGTCTGGGTCTCCCTCTGAGTATACCGTGGGCAGGGTAGAGCAGGGACAGAGAGAACTAATGAGCACCCCACCACAGAGGCCTTTTGCTTCAGGACTTCTGGACAAGGGAACTTGTTCATGATCAGGCCTGGGCTGTGGGAGGCAAATGTGCCGTCTTTTGGGTTTGAGCATGGTTGTAGGCCTGTCCCCCATCGGAAGGGAAGGAGAGGTTAAACAGAGCCCACCCCCATTGACCAGAAAAGCTCTGGAAGCCCCCCAGAAGGAGATGCTCCCTTAGGGCCTTTTCTTGGAGCCCATCAAAATAAATATATACAGGCAGACAGACAGACATACAGATGATAATAACTGAAGATGTGATTAACAGAGGCCTGAGGTATAGAAGGGAGGAGGACTTCGCATATACCTGTCCACTTGCACACACGTGTTTACACACAGAACACCTTTATCGGAGCCCACCCAACCGCAGCCACACCAGTGTGTCCCCCAATTATGTTACATGCTGTTGTGGGAGGAAGCAGCTATCACTGATCAACCACCATCATCGCAGAAGCCTGCATCGTGGTTCCCAGCAACACCCCTCAGACGTCGAGTCCAGCCCTGGGAGGCACACACAGTCGGTTTCATGCACTGGTGTGCGCTCTCACACATTCTCAGACATTCAGACCAGCACAGGCGAGCACACACTGACACTGGCCTAGTCATCAGTTAGGGGTAGTCACCATTCAGGTATTCCCCCACTGCTCTGTCTGCCCACACCGTGGTATCAGTAGGCAGTGCTCCACCCCATGCCCCCCATTTGGGGAGTCCCTGGAGCCAGCCTCCGGACAAGGGATCTGATGGCAGCTCCCTGTGTCCTTACCAGGTCAGCATCGGCTGCCCCGAGAAGATGGAGCCCATAACCAAGATCTCGCATATCCCAGCCAGCCGCTGGGCTCTGTCCTGCAGCCTCTGCAAGGAGTGCACTGGCACCTGCATCCAGGTACATACGCGGCCACTTCCCTCCTGCCTGGGGACCTCATGCAGGAGCCAGTTGAATAGCAAGGCTCATCTGGAAACATTTGGAAAACAAGCAACTGCCATGCCCCCTCCACCCATCCCCATGGTGATGCATACAAAACCACTGATGGACCCAGGAGGCTGGGATTGGGACCAGAACCACAACCACACCTGGGGGGTGCATTCTGCTATCCTGTTTCTCTACTCAGGGGACTGGCCTGGGAAGCTGAGGCTCACACCCATTGGCAGTGCTGAGGACTCTGGCTTTCCCCAGTAGCAGGTGACACATCAAACTTGACATGAAGGAGGGGTAGGAGTGGGACTTTTCCTCCAGTAAGCAAATAGAATGTCCTGATACTGAGTGGGGCTGCACTAGTTTGTCAACAACAGTGGTTCCCAGATTCTAGGGTGCATCAGATTTAGCCACGGGGCTTGCTAAATCAGAGCTGGGCCTGACCCTGGAGGCTCTGATTCCATATCTGGAGTGGGTCTGAGAACCCAAAATACTAGCAGGTAATACTATGCTGCTGGTCTCCAGGTTGGAGGGTTGAGGTCAGGCTTTCTGTCCCTCATCTTTAGGAACAGTTGTCACTGCAAACCTTAGGTGTGCCTCCATCCCTGTGTGAGACTCTCAAGGTGACTTGTGAGGGCAGCATAAATGTTCTGTGACGGTTGGTGGGTTGTGACAGAGACAGTTACAAGTTGCCTGCAACTGTCCTCTGGGAGGGAGGTGGCAGCCCTAGCTGCCCAGAGAAGAGGAGAAGGGGTTCTAGTTGAGGCCCGCTACCCAGAGGCCAGGACGAGGACACTCAGTTCCCATCTAGATAACTTTGCTACAGAGGTGGCAGTGATCTACAGCCTCTTTTCGATGCCTCAGATTTGGTGTCACTTCGCTCACCCAGAGATGCTGCTTGTCCCCACGGGTTGCCCTGTTATCCGATTGTTGACTCCCCCAGGCTCAGTGGTGCTGAACCCCATCTCCTTTCCACCATTCCCCTCAGGATGTTGGGAGCCCACATCTTTTTATTTAAGGGTCTCAGCAGCATTTTGCCTTCTTGGGGGAACCCTGGGCAGTGCTCCACATCTTTCCCTCCCACCAGAGCACCCTTCCTGCCTGACACTGCCCTTCTCCTCCCTCCAGTGTTCCATGCCTTCCTGCGTCACGGCGTTCCACGTCACATGCGCCTTTGACCATGGCTTGGAAATGCGGACTATATTAGCAGACAACGACGAGGTCAAGTTCAAATCTTTCTGCCAAGAACACAGTGATGGGGGACCCCAGGGTGAGCCCACATCTGAACCCATGGAGCCCAGCTCAGCCGGTGAGGACCTAGAAAAGGTGACCCTACGCAAGCAGCGGCTGCAGCAGCTAGAGGAAGACTTCTATGAGCTGGTGGAGCCGGCCGAGGTGGCTGAGCGCCTGGACCTGGCGGAGGCGCTAGTTGACTTCATCTACCAGTACTGGAAGCTGAAGAGGAAAGCTAATGCCAATCAGCCGCTGCTGACCCCCAAGACTGATGAGGTGGACAACCTGGCCCAGCAGGAGCAGGACGTCCTCTACCGCCGCCTGAAGCTTTTCACACACCTGAGGCAGGACTTGGAGAGGGTGAGTACCTGCTGCCCTGCCTGCCTGCCTGTGGGCATCTATGTTCCTGCCCTGGAACAACCATGGCTCACCAGGACTCTGAGCTGTGGCCTCCAGGTTTCTGACAGGCAGGGGTCGCTATACTTTGCACAACAGGGAAGGATCCTGCTCTTGCATCTCTGAGTCGTGCTTGCCTCTCCACCCCTTTTGCAGGCCTGGTGAAGTTGGGGCCCTGCCAAGGTCATGTGGCTAGGGGTTTAGAGCCGTCGCCGGGAACTTGGGCTTCAAGTTCCTGGTGGCCTTTGTGGTCTTTACCTGGTTCCAGCACAGGAACTTCTGTGTAGGTTTGGAGGCAGCCAAGGAATTGGGAATCCTGGGTGAGCTGGATCAACCCAATGAGCCTGTGGGAGGCCAGTGCAGGGAAAACAGGTGTGAATGTGACTCCTGGGGGTGCTGGACAGAGGGACCAGCATGAGCACAGGCGCTGAGGTGGGGTTGGAGCGTGCAGGTGGTCTCGAGACCAGCAGCAGCCAACGTGGAGTGGAAGAATGGGACTAGGTCAGTGTGTTTGGAAGCCAAAGAAACATGTGAGTTTAGACTGTCCTGGTAGGGCTGCAACCTCCCAAAACCCTAGAAGAATTGCAAGCCCGCAGTAGGGTGGGCAGGCCTTGTGCTGGGAGATAGGTGATCTTAGCTTAGTCCAGACGTGCTAGCTAGGAGAGTGAGTGAGATGAGAAGTGGGTACAGGTGTCATGGTTTTGGACTGGACTGTGGATGTTGAGGGTCATTGAATTCCTTTCCTGGATCATGGAGTTCCCCCAAAGTCTCCAGCCTCTCCTATACTTTCCCAGAAAGACGAGGGGCTCCTGCCTTTGAATTTGGCTTTTCTTTTGCCTTGCAATCGCCAGCTGTTAAAAATACCACCTCCAAAGGGCCTCCCTGGTGGCGCAACGGTTGAGCACTGGGCTGCAAAGCTGCCCGCAGCCTCTGCAGCGCCGGTTTGATTCCTGGCCACCGGGCGAGGGTCCCACATGGCGTGCAGACCTTTCCTGCTGTGCCCGCTGCTCCTCTCAGCAGTGTACTTTGGTCCTTCTGCCTGTTCTGCTACCTGCTCTGGCTCTGGTGAATTCTCTCACCCTCCTGCGCTTCTGACTATACCCAGTGCTTGTATAAATAAATAAATAAATCTTTAAAAAAAAGAAAAAAAAAATACCACCCCCAAATTGGGGGCAACCCAAGGATGAGTAGGATGTTCTGGGTCTTTGATGCAGTATTCTGAACCTCAGGTGCTGTTCTGGCCACCTCTCTGAGACACTGGACTCTAGGATTTCAGAACTATTGGATCATGTCCCAATAGGATGGGTCCAAAGACACATGCCACCCTCTCCCCAGGTGGTGCTAGGAAGCAACCCGAGTGGAAGCATCTAGGAGCTTTGCGTGACCAGAGGCAGCTGCTTTTTCAAACTCTGAGCATCTGGACTGACAAGTCTGCAAAGTGGTTAGAACAATTTGGTTGGCAGGTGTTGCACTATGTGTGATGGGGGGACTTGAGGTAGGAGCTTTGAAATTGGACCCAGCTTCACTGTTCTCCTTTACCCGAGTATCTGTCCTGAGGCCTGGTCAGGGGAACAACTCCACTGGCCCAGAAAGTAGCTTACTCCCTAGCAGCCAGCCAGCCCCAGGTTAGAAGGGAGATGAGAGGTTTGAGGTCACCGCTTCCTGGTCAGCCGAGAGTCCTGCCATGTGTGGCAGTAGCATCAGGTACAAACTTCCAGAGTCATCCTCAGGTCTGCCCTGTGTCCCCACTTCCACGGTTTCTAGAGCAAACACGCTGCATTTACTCCTGTTTCCAAATAACCCAGTAGATCTGACCTCCCTGGTCTGGGCTCATTAGCCCACAAGTCTGACCCTGGCTTGTCTGGGTAGGAAGTTCAAGAGTGGGGTCACTTACTCAATCTTCCTGAGAAAAGGTACTCCCAGCCCTAATGAGCAGATGAGGAAACCACCTCAGAAAGATGACATGGACCAAAGCATGTTTAAGGAAACCTTAAAAGGTGTGTGTTCAGGATTTGAGTGGAATTAGAACCTGAATAGGGGAAGGGGTTTGTCCCAGAGCCAGAGAGGTTGGCTTATTATGAATTCTGTACATTTCCCAGTAAAAGCATCCTTTTAACAGTCCCCCAACCTCTTAGCCCTTGTTCACATGTGCAGGTGAAGCCAGGGGCCGAATCTGTCAGGTGCTAAGTTGGCAGCAAGCTTGCTGAGGCAGGCTCAGTGTTCCCAGGTAACCAGTGCTGCCTCCAGTCCCCTCTGCTCCAGGGCACAGATCCTTCAAAATCAGGAGTGAACCAACCCTCTCCTCCAGGAAGAGGAGGCAGGGCCAGCCTTGAGGTTTGTGCAGCTTCTTAGGAGGTCCCTGTCAGAACGCTGCCTTGCTTCTCCAGCAGCCACCGAGCTGGACTCCGGCACCAGCCGAGAACAAGACAAGGACGTGTGCACAGTACTGGCAGGCTGCAGAGAGGAAAGTCAGAGATAGCCAGGACCAGGTTGACCTCACTGGGTCCAGCCTTGGGGGCCTTTCATGGCCACACGTTAATGATTTGAGTGAGTGAACTGGACTGATAATTATGCCGTCGGGGAGGCTCTCTGCAATGGCTCGTGACTGTTGGTGGCCTGGCCAATGGGCCCAGTCTGGCTGAGACCCAGTGCCAGTGGCTGTGAATGTCCAGGCCAGTCGGACTCCCTGCATCAAGGAGGCAGGGCAGGGCTTGAGATCGAGACCTTGGTTGGCTTGGGTCTCACTTCCAGCACTTTCCATCTCTGCGCTTCTGAGTTTCGGTTTCCAAGTCTCTTGAGTTTCTGTTTTCTGCTCTGTTAAATGGGAGTAAGCTCAAAAAGACCCTGAGGTCACAGTGAAGATGGGGGACAATTCTGCACAGTGCCCTGCGTTTAGTTGTGGCTGTTGCTGCTGCATGACCCCACAAGCAGTCTGGCTCTGGGAAGAGTGGGCTGCTCAGAGGCTGAGCTCCATGGGGGCTGGTAGGGGCAGGGGCCAGGGAATCACAGGGCATCCTCCCTGCTTGATTTTTTTCCCCCCAGGCCAGTCAAGGGTTTTGCTGAGCGAAGCAGGAGCTGGGGCCTTGCTCCCACCACCAGCATGAAATCCTATTTTATGGTTGGCCTGGATGTGCTTTCCTAAAATTTCAGCCGCCGGCCTCGGCCCTGGCAGGCAGCTCAGGAAAGCATGGCCACTGCAGCCTCCCAGAGTAATTCACAGCTGACAAAAAAATTGCAGCATTGACATCAGCCTGACAAATGCCGGCTGGTGTCCCCTAGCAACCGGGCTGGCTGCTTGGGCTGCACGGGGCCTCGCTGCCTATGGTTCTGGATCTGGTTACCAGGAGGTTATTTGAGAACCTTACTCGGTCTGAGAGGGGGTCTGAGAGATGCCGGGGGTGAGGGCCACTTGCAGACACATACCCAGAGGACAGGCAAGACCTCCTTTCCCATAGCTCTCCGGAGGCAGGAGAGGAAGCGCCTGCCCTCCCCCACACTTGCCACCTGCTTTCTGGTCACACCTCATTAACTCAGCCTTCAGTGCCTGGATTGTGGTCTCCTTGGCCTCTCACCAAAGCCCACCTTGTCCTGGGCGGCCTTTGCCTCTGGAGCTCTTGCTCCTCAACTCCCCTATGTCCCATCTCTAGGGTTTTTTCACCCCATTAGTGCCCCTCCCTCCCTCAAACCTAATTGCCACCTTGAACTACTCCCTGGTTATTCACCCCAAATCCCTCTTAACTCCAGCTCCTGTTCTCCCTGCTTAGCTGCCTCCCTGGTTCCCCAGCCCCAACTGTTCCCTGTTCCTTCACTTCTACCCCGGTTAGCACAGAGTCAGTGCCCATGCCTTTGCCCAGTGCCACTGGTGGAGACTTACCCAGGGATACTAGGGTGCCCAGGGGCTGTCAGGCCTGCCAGGAGCTACCCCATAGAGTAGGCCAGTGAGGAGGCCCCTGCCAGCCAGCCTTGGCAGGACATACATCAGCAGCCTTCTGGGCTCCCCTCCCCATCTCCACTCTCGTACTCCTGCCCTCCCTCAGGGCTCCCTCTTCTCTAAGCAGATAACTCCCCTCCTGTTCCTCTGACCAGAATCCTCCAGTTGTTGCTAGCAGTGCCCTCTCTGTCCATGGTCTCTTTCCTTTCATCCCCTCCCTCCCTACCAGAGATCTCCTAGCCACACTGTGCAGTATGGGGACGTCTCTGTCTATTCTCCACAGCTGCCTCCTGCTCCAGAATTGTACGAGCATTCGAAATCCTTCACCGTCTCCCAGCTTTGAAGGCTCACTAGCCGTGGGCTTTTCCACCCAGTCCCCTTCCCGACCCCCATTTCTGCCTTTCTGTCATCCCTGTGAGAAAAGGAGGAGCTGGGACCTTGTACCTACCAACTGCCCTCCACCCCTACCTCCCTCCTTCCTACTCTGGCCATCGCCATATTCTAGAATCTCCTGCCAGGGCTACCATCTCCCTATCTCCGGGGCCATTTCTCTGTCATGGCTCAGCCTTCTCAGCAGTTCTCACTATAGTCACACATGCCCTGTGGGTATCAGACCAGATCCCCCTTGAGTACCCCAGCTGGGCTTCCCTCTGAGTGCTCCTTGGTCCCCCTCGGCCGCATCTGCCCCCCCATCCCCATCGGGAGGCTGACTCCAGCCTACTCCTCCCACAGCCTTACCAGCCCCCACATGTGTCCTCCCCTTGCTCCCCTCACCCCATGCTGATACCAAAACAACTTCGACAAGGAAAAACCTGCTTATATTACCAGTCCCTGCCCTAGTTTGGGCACTTTTCCATTTGATTCATATTTGTATTCTGACTTGATTTTTAGAGAGATCGTTTTATCTTTATAATCAGAAAAAAACAGTAATGACAGTGTAAGGAACCTGATTGCCTGGGCCAGCTCTTCTAAAGTGCTATCAATACTTTGTCCCCCCAAACCCTCCCGGAAGTGGAATTCCACATGATTCAGTAGCATATGGCAGTGTCACCAAGCGTGTTGGGAGAAATTAGAGAAGTAGTTGTGGATTCCAAGGTGCAGTGGGAAGAGGGATCACGGTGCCACCAGTGTAGCCATAGAAGATGTGGGCATCATTGGGGGCCTCACAAAAGGCAGCACGCCTACTTTTAGGGCAGGAGATCCCCATATCACTGATCGTGTTGTGTATCCTTACGAAAAAAAAGTGAACATTTACCTCCATCATACTGCATTTTTAATATGCCATAGTTACCACTGTACATTATAAAATAAGCATAATCAGAATTTCTGATGGGTTCAACTACCACTAGAAATTCTTCCTGTACTGTGATGGGCTTTGGAACTCAGCAGCCTATGCAGTCACTTGGAGACCTCTGGCAAGCGGCAGGATTCTCCGACTCAACAGTAATATGTAAAATGTATGTTCGAGGTTGCCCAACCAGGAAGCCACCTTTTCCCCTGAGCCTGGGAATCTGTGTTTTTAGCCAGCCACCCTAGGGATCTTAATGCCAGTGATTCATTTGTGCATGACTTATAAAACTGCTTCAGAATTTTAGTTGGCAGATGTCCCCACCATACCTCCCCTCAAAACCCTGAGCCTGTATTGTAATAGGAAGTAATTAGACATGACTGTTGTGGGAAGAAATCTGTGACTCTGAGCCTCGTTTTACCTGGTTCCTTACCTTTAGACGTTAGGGTTAAGGGTTGAGTAAACTCCAAGAGGGCATATTGGGGAAATTCTTTAAAAGCTGGGCCTTGACAGACTGTTTAATTTGGACACATTGACTTTTGTTTTGAAGCCTCCACAATTGCCATGAATCCACCCGTCTCTCTTCATCCCTTCTGTCCTCACGTTAGGCCATGTCACGGCTGGAAGAATAAAAACCAAGATACAGGGACAATGATGCTCTATTGCTTAGATGTGGTGTACAGGGAAGGCCTTCTGGAGCCAAGGCCTGAGGGAGATGCAGCCTTGGGAAGCCGGGGGTGAAGAAGTCCAGGGCAAGAGTGAATATGACCCAGGCCCCAAGGCAGAAGGGGCTAGACACAGGCCAAAGGGTGCTGGAGGGCAGGATGAGGTGCGCTTTGAGGTGCCGTGGGAGGCCAGGGTGGACAAAGCACTGGACTGTGACTCAGGTTTTTTAAGTGTAATGGGAAGGAAGCTGTATATTTGTTTCCTAGCACTACATTATAGCCACAAACTTAGTGACTTTAAACAACAGAAATTTGCTTTTTCAGTTCTAGAGAAAGTCCAAGATCACGGTGTTGGCAAGGGTGCTGCCGCCTCAAGGCTGCAAGGGAGAACGTGGCCCGGGCCCTTCTCTTAGCTTCTGGGGATGCCTGGCAGCTCCCTGGCTCATACATGATACATGGCTCACTACTGTGTCTGCCTGTCTTCACATGGCCTGTGAGGGCCCTAGTCTTGGATTTAGGGCTCTTTTATATCCAGTGTGACCTCATCTTAATTACACCTGATGTTCTAGTTGGACGAGGATCCTTTTCGACTGGTACAGAAGCCATCGAAGTTTTTAAGGGACTAAGGATTTACACTTACGTTTCAGGAAGATTATTCTGAGATAACAGGATCAGAATGTCTGGTTGTCCAGGTGAAAATGATGGGCTGACTGGGAGGTGAAGGGAGCTGATGGAAGGACTTGATGGACCATTCTGGTGGATCAGTTATGGGGTCAGATGAGAAAGTGGGTGCTAAGGGTGACTCCCAGGTCTCAACACTTAAACACACCCTACACCACCAGCCCCTCCCCAAGTCCCTCCACACACCACCTGGGCCTGGTCTTACTCTGTGTCCTTGTCCCCAGCTTGTGGTCTAGCTGCCCTTTTCTTCAGGAAGTCTTCATCAGCGTCCCCAAGTCTGGGCCAGGGCTGCCTGGCCCTATCAGTGTTTGTCAGCTTCTATCAGCGAGCCCTCAGGAGAAAGGGGCCCACAAGGTGCTGCTCACTGATGAGCCCAAGGTCTCACCCAACATGTGTTCACAGAGCCACAGCCCTGTGCTTCGGGATGTGTGGGAAGGGAGCCTGACGGTGCCGGGATGCTGGAGCAAGGACTCAGGCCTGTGTGGTGCTGGCCCCAGGGGGCCTGGTGTCCAGAATGGAGTTCATGCAGAGCTATCCTGTGAGGCCTAAGACTGAGGTAGAGTTGTGAGAGCTCCTTCAGTGCTCCCCTCAGGAAAGAGAGGAGGATGTCCACGCCTGCAGAAAATTCTGTTCACTACTAACCCCGGCCTGAAGAAATGGTCTTCAAGACAGCAGGTGGCGACCCTGGAACCCACAGGTCAGCCCTGAGCAGCTTAAGAATATGAAGAGTGAACTCTGCTTTGAAATGGAGCCCAGCAAGACACAGCGGTACTAGCCTCAGCTGGAAAGACCTGATGGGACCTGGTGTTCCTGGCCAACTGTCCCTGCTGCTGGAGGCTCCCACCTGAGCTGAAGATGCTGGGGGAACAAGGAAGTGTCTTTCACTCCAGAGCATGATGCACCCTGAAAGCAGCTGGACTGGAATGATGCCAGTTAGACAGGAAGCATCATGGTCCATCTCCAGATGCTTCCAGACCAGATGCATGGAGGGTCTACGTCCCACGGGCTGAGCAAACTAATCTCAGAGGCACTTCTTAGCTAGCGTAGGGGAGTTCTAGCACCTTGCCCTCTTCTGCGGAGTTCTGTCTGGCTGAGTAACTGAGAAACTTGGGGTCTTGACCAAAGCAGGCTTGTCTTGGCTCAGGTCCCAGTGCAGTGTGTAGACAGGGGTCAGCCAGTCCGGACCCAGGTGGTCGGGGACTGCCTATCTGCTTGAAGCTGTCGTGCTGGCTGCTCCAGTACCACGGCCGTTCATGGCTGAGGAGAGAAGTTGGCTTTTTGCCATGGTGCCGGTGGCTGAAGAGTTTCTTTGGTGGGAAAGAGCCTTGGATAGGGTAGCGGCATGGACTTGGTGTCCGTGGTGTCCACAGACTTGGGCCTCCTCATGAGGTCCTTGTGTATACAGGGAAGAGCAGCCACATTGGAAGGATCTGGGAGGCAGCGTGGCTGCTTGACCAGGAAGTTAACGGTGGAGTCACCGGCCTAAGCTGGCCAGCTGGTCGTCCTGCTCACTGGCCCTGCAGGGGCTGCAGTGCAAGGCTGTGCTTGACCTCATGTTTTGGCTCAGAGAATCTGACTGAGGGCTGAGGACACACTTGGGATCTGGGAATTGATTCCCGGATGTCCTGGGCAGGTTAGGCAGTAGTGGCTGTGGGGCCTTCCCCCAGGCGCTGTCTTCACTATCAACATGAGCTGGGAAGTCAGGGATGGTTGCTTATGAGTAAGGTGGAAAATCTCTCTTGTGTTTCCTCAGGTTAGAAATCTGTGCTGCATGGTGACAAGGCGCGAGAGAACGAAACACGCCATCTGCAAACTCCAGGAGCAGATATTCCACCTGCAGATGAAACTTATTGAACAGGATCTGTGTCGAGGTAGGCGCTTCCCTGCCGCCGGCGGCTACCTCTCAGTTACACACTTGCGGGGCTGGGTCCCAAGGAGGGTATGTCTTTGGGGCCCGGTGGGGACATGTATATGGGGCCAGGGGCCACTGGCCCCCAACCCTCCCCGCCGTCATTTGGTTAGTTGGCCAAAATGGGGATACCCCAGGGTCCCAGTTGTGTGTTGGTAGGCAAGGAGCCAGAGATTGGAATTTGGGCATCACCCTGCCCTCAGGGAGCTTTCTAGTTCACTGGAGCCATCCAGATAGTGCCAGGACGACAGCACTTCAGGTGCAAATAGCATGTGTATCAGGTGCAGACCAGAAGTCCTAGTGGCTCCATGCCAGTCCAGTGAGTCCTCATCTGACATCATCGATAGATTCTCGGAAACCCGCTTTAAACAGAACGACGCACCATGAAGCCAGGTCCTAGGACATCGTTCCAACCCCTCCTGGGATGTTTTTGTTGTTGCTTTTTTTGCTTTTTTCATCAAATTTATAACAAAACAACATTGAGCAAAATAATCAAGAGCCTGAGGCAAGAAAGACCTGAAACTGGCAGGTTTCCCTGATCCCCTTTGTTGCTACGTGTTGATCCTAAAGAAGGCTGCTGCTCCTGTGATGAAAGAGGTCCCAGTGTGTTCTTCTGGCCTGGCAGGATTCAGGCTCCGTGGCAACAATTTTTCCTTTTTTCTTCTCTTGCCATCACATGCATCAACATACCTGGAAATCAAAGGCCAAGGAAGCTCTGACATTGCTCTTTCCTGTCAGTTGTGAAGTTGTTATTGGACACAGGACCATCTTCTGAATGTTGAGGATCGCAACACTTAACCTCCAAAATGGGGCTCTAATGCCGATTTACATGCAGCAGAAAGAGATCAATGAAGAGAACTTTGAGCTAGAGGCTTCCCCTTGCAGCTCCTCCCCTCTGTTCTGAATCAGGCTGGGCCTGGATTGTACAGGAAGGACAGCTGCAGGGCCAACAATGGAGGGAGGGAGCACTGGGGTCCTGGTTCTGCCCCACACCTGCCTAAGCACTCAGCTACCTTCTTTGAGATCACCACCCACTCTGGCCCCAAAAACCAACACTGCCAAGTACAGGTCCTGGGTAAGTGGGTCACAGCCATGCACCCCCAAGACTGTAGCAACTTCTGGCTGCCAGGGCTTGTCAGATTTTCTCATCTGTTGATTCACACAGTGAGCAGTAACAGCATAGACAGGATCCTGGGCGTTGCAGGGCACAGTACTGTGGACGGAACGCACAAGGCTTTGCCCTCAAGGAGTTCACCATCTGATTTGAAAGACAAAGGAAAGTGGTGTCCAAGGGGCTACAGTAGGTGCCAGTTCAGGGAAAGGTACCAGGGATGGCTTCCCAGTGGTGTTGATTTTGGAGCCAAGACAGGCTTCCTAGGACCTCACATGGCCACATATCCAGCTGCAGAAGAGGCCCACAGTTGAGACAGTAGAGAGTGGCAAGGTCTAGAGTGTCCTTGGGCACAGGATACCAAAAACTTGGTCAAGATTCTGGTGGTCCACAGCCCTACATTGAGTCTGGTGACATATGAAGCACCACCTGCGTGGCAGCTCCGGTGGTCCTTTGTTCAGGTTGGGGCACTTGGAGAGATGAGTTGTTTGCGTCTGCCAGAAGCTGATACCCTCAGAGTTGTGATGCATGGTCCCTACGATGAGACTTGTATCATGAGCAAATTCTTCTCTGGCCTGGGGGCTGAAACAGGTGAAGGACAAGGAAAGAGCGTATTTGGGGTCCTAGAGGCCAGAGCATGTTTTGTTAGAGAAGCTGGAAGGACACTGGTACAGCTGCACCAGAGCAGAAGGGAGTCTAAGTGAGACTGAAGAGTGGGGAGGGTCGGATATTCGAACCGCGGAAGGAGCCCAGACCAGCCTAAGGGCAGTGCTCGCCACACCCCCCTCCAGGGTATCTAGGCAGTGGTCCCATTTACAGAGGAGGAAATGCTGCCTGACCTGAGGTTGCAGAAAGAATAAACAGCAGAGCTGGGAAGATAACTGAAACTGGAAACACACCCCTCAACCTTTCCTTAAACCCTTATTCCGGAAGCCCTCCAAGCCCCAGTTTTTCACTGAGGATGTGGGAAAAGATTCTTGGCAGCTGGAATTCCCCCACCGCACCTCCCTCCCCTGCTCCAGTGTCCTCTGTGGCTCCCTACACCTATGTGATCACACACTGAAAGGAAATGAGGGCCAGGTGTGTACAAAACCTCCCATCTGCTCTCTGGTCTGAAAGCAGAACCAGGAGGCTTGTTCAAAGGGACTGAGCGCCGTGTCTGGCGTGGAGTACAAGCCTCTTGACGCCTCACGTGGTGTGCTTTCCACCTTCATGCAGACCTCTTTGGCCTGGAATTCAAGGCCCTGACCTAAGCACCCTCACCCTCAGACAGCGTTCCCACACACCAGGACTCCCCAGATCTGTAGGCCTTAAAGAGCAGACTGCAGTTTGGTCCTGGGAAGTGGTCCTCATCCTCCACATAGCCTTCTGCCCTCCCAGGCTCCTCCAAGGCAGCAGTGGGCAGTGACTCCACAGTTGTCCTGCCCTTGATCCACTGGTGCCCCACTTACCCTGTTCCCTCCAGCTCTGAGCCTGGGGGCTGAGGCACTGGGTGGTGAGGGGGTCCTGGGATGACATGCAGTGATCTTGGTTCTGGCTGAGGCTGCACTGGTAAACACCTACCTCCTGCTCTCTCTTTCCCTGACACAGAACGATCTGGAAGGAGGGCAAAGGGCAAGAAGAGCGACTCAAAAAGGAAAGGTCGCGAGGGCCCGAAAGGCAGTCCTGAGAAGAAAGAGAAAGTGAAGGCAGGACCAGACTCAGTCCTGGGGCAGCTGGGTGAGTGGCCGTGGTGGCCTGGAGGACATGCTGGGGGCTCGCGACATCAATCCATTTGAAGCCCTCTATGTAGGACTGGCAGGGTCCACCTGCACCCCTGCTGCATAGAGGACGACACCCAAGAGGACGGATCAGACCCTTGCCCAAGTACTAACCATAAAGGAGATTGAGGGTGCCCCACCTGGCATCTTCTTTTATAGATGTGGAAGCTGGGCTTAGGAGTTCAGGAACTATTTGTCATTCCCCAGGCCAGGGTCCTGAATGCTAGATTTTCCCAGAGGCCTTCAACAGACCTCTAGGCCATCTGGGCCTTTCCAGTAACCCATTCCTGTGCTGGGAGGTAAGAATCTGTCAATTCTTGTCTCATTTGGCTGGAATCTTCTCAAATGGGCAGGGACTCTTTCTGAAGTCATCCAGGGAGACCCAAGAGTGACCACGGGCTCTGGCCACCCTGTCTTCGCTGTCACAGACCTGTGCAGTGCCACTGCAGTAAGCAGAGCAGCACTTGAGGGGCCCCAGCTCTGGACTATTTCCCAGGAGGTCACGTGTCCTCTCAAGTGTTCCTCAAGGACTGTGGTGGATTTCCCTTCCAGAACCCCTCTCTAGCACAGAAGCCCCAGGTCATCCTTTATTTTCCTTTGTCTGAGAGAAGAGGACAATATTGGGTGTGTAATGGGAGACCGAGTCCTGCCAGCTGCCCCCTCCACAACCTCCCACAGAGGAGAAAGAGGCAGGAGCTGAGCTGATCCTGACTCCCAAGAGAAGGAACCTTCCTGCCTCCTTGCTCTGCAGGCTCTGCTCATAAAAATCCAGCTCCCCCTGTGGCCAGGGGCGGTTTCCTCCGTTCTTGATACCCTGAGACCCTAGGATGGGGGGGCTGGGGGGTGGGCAGGGCCAGCTTCTGCACCCATGCTGACTCAAAGGACCCCGATGGTTTAATATTCTACTGTCGCCTCTTTGAAATTCTTAAATAATTTTTGAACAGGGGGCCTGCATTTTCAGCTTGTGCTCTACTCCACAAATTCTGAAGCCATTTCTAGGAGAGGACATCCTTCTAGGGGGAGGGACAAGTGGTGTGGCCTCCACTCTTAGGTGGTGTTGGCTTGGACAAAACAACATAACTTCAACTGGGCTTAGCACAGAGGCCAAGTGGGAGGAAAAGACACACCTTGGTGTGTTGGGGGGTGCTTCCTCAGAGGGCTGTGCTGGCATCTCACCTGCTTCCTGTCTCCCTTCTGCCAGGCCTGTCCACCTCCTTCCCCATCGATGGCACCTTCTTCAACAGCTGGCTGGCGCAGTCTGTGCAGATCACAGCGGAGAACATGGCCATGAGCGAGTGGTCACTGAACAATGGGCACCGTGAAGACCCTGCTCCGGGGCTGCTGTCGGAAGAGCTGCTACAAGATGAGGAGACGCTGCTGAGCTTCATGCGGGACCCCTCACTACGACCTGGTGACCCTGCCAGGAAGGCCCGAGGCCGCACCCGCCTGCCAGCCAAGAAGAAACCACCCCAGGAAGGGCCAGGTTCACGGACGACTCCAGACAAACTCCCCAAGAAGCCCTGGGGCCAGGATGCAGGCAGCGGCAAGGGGGGTCAAGGGCCACCTGCCAGGAAACCACCGAGGCGAACACCTTCTCACCTGCTCTCCAGTCCTACAGCTGGGGACTGCCCCATCCCAGCCACTCCCGAGAGCCCCCCACTGCTGGCCCCTGAGACCCTGGACGAGGCAGCCCCAGTGACAGCCGACTCGAATGTCCAAGTGCCTGGCCCTACGGCGAGCCCCAAGCCCTCAGGCCGGCTCCGACTGCCTCGAGAGAACAAGGGAACCCGGAGGTCACCAGGTACCAGGCCTGATGCTGGGACAGGACCGCCTTCTGCTGTGGCCGAGAGACCAAAGGTCAGCCTGCACTTTGACACCGAGACTGACGGCTACTTCTCTGATGGGGAGATGAGCGACTCAGACGTGGAGGCCGAGGACAGTGGGGTACAGCGGGGTCCCCGGGAAGCAGGGGCTGAGGAGGTGGTCCGCATGGGGGTTCTGGCCTCCTAAGTCGCCCCTATCCCTGTCCCGGGCCCTGCCCTGGTTCCCCCACAAGGCCTCAGCCCAGTCACAACTGCCATTTCCAATCTTTGCTGAGTGTCCCAGACCCTCAAGGCTGCCACTCTGTTGTGGTTTTATTTTTAATATAGAGAGAGTTTTGAATTCCACACTGTTGTCTTTCCTCTGTGCTGGCCTAGGACATTAGGATTCCTTCCACGGCTCTGGCCACAAGGACTACGCCAGGTCCTGTGCAGCCTCCCCACCAAGGCAGCATCCCTGCCCGGCCCAAGCAGCGTCACTGGGCTCCTGGCTCGATGTAGGCGAGGTGAAGGAGCGCTCAGGACTCCAGCCTGCTGCCACTGGGTGACACAGACTGTCGTTAGGGCATTATTTCATGGCAGATGGGCCAGCCCAGGGCCTGCCCCGCCTTGCCCCAAGTCCCACTGGGGTCCATTTGGGGGGTCCTGCTGCACTCCACTGATCCCCAAGGAAGTATAATAAGTGACACCCAGCCAGAGTCTACTCACTGTCACAAGCACAACGAGCTTATACAAGAAAGCACTGAGGGGGCGCTGAGGGCCTGCCGGTTCCAGGGGAACCTTAGCGGTTGCTGATAACCCACATCATCTGAGGCCTGCCCGCCTACCCCGCGCCCCTCTACTCCCTTGCTGCTCCTCCCCTGCCAGCGCCCAGCCCGGCGGCTCTGGGAAGGGGTTCCCAGAATCCTTCCTGAGCAGTGCCATTTACTCAGGGGACTCCCAAACAGCCAGCCGCCAGTGCCGGTGGAGGGCTGCAAGGGAGGGCCAGTGCCCAGACAGGGGCGTGGGGCTCAAACTTGCCCACTGCAGAGAATCACTCTGGGGCTCCAACTTCCTTCCTTCGGGGCCAGTCTCGGCCAAAGTCTGGTCACTTCCCGAGAGCTGACCAGGCCAGACCGTTTGCCTTTTCAAGTTTCCCAGTCCTGCAAAGAGATGAGCTTCTTCCTCAGTTTCCTTCTGGAAACTCTTCCTTCCAACAAGCGGTGGGATCCCGGGGCCCAAAGTGGGCCAGCAGTGGCCTGCTGGGGCTGTTCTGAGTCTTGCTGGATGTTCCTGGTTTCTCCGTCCCTTCAAGCCTTAATCCCTTTCCCAGCTGTGCCACTCCCTTCCCCACCGCTCCGTCCTGCCTTTCCCTCCACCCCCCAGGTCCAAGATAGTTGCTCTAAAAAGTTTGAGTGGAGTGGCCCCAGGGTGATAGCTCAGGGAACAAACAAAAAGGAATTCAGTGAAAGCATTTTTTTTTTCTTTTATGAATTACTGCTGGGTCACTTCCGCCACTGGTAAAGCTAGAACTTCTCCAACAAGAACCTTGCAAAAGTCCAGTGTATCAGTCGAATCATTCTATGGATGCCAAAGAATATTTTGACCATAACACAGCACAGCCTGGACCCGACAACTTGTCACTTGGACTTTTTCTTCATGGAGTTCTTTAGCAACAAAGTCTAGAAACACGTCTGTTGCACACACCCACAGAGCAAACCCAGGCTCTTGAAAGAGGAAGCTGTCCTGTTGCTGAGCTGCTGGGACCGGGAACCGGGCATTGGATTTCAGATTCTGGGCTGGGCCCACTGTGAGATCTCCTGAACTCTGAGTCTCACGGATGAACACTGACAGCGAAACCAGCATGGCAAGTCTTTACCATGTGGTTCCCCCCACGCAAAACACAAAGCGCAAGTAAGTGGGATGGGGTGCAGCTTGACACACCCCTCCAACTGACTCCAACGAAATTATCAAGGTACGACAGTGGCGTTGTCATCAACACTCAGTTTCATGTGAATTTTAGTAAAACAGGAAACAAAGATAATGGCTGAGTTCCGAGGATCGGACAGATGTGTCCAGTCGGAGCGGACTTGGCCTGAATTTCAAGGATTCGGGGCGTCGGGATGGCCTGAGCCACATGTAGAGCTCAGTCCAGCTGCCCGCCTTAGTAGCAGTGGCCAGTGCAGCGGCAGTGGCAGCTTCCTGACCCCACTCTCTTTACTGCCTTGAACAGCCCTTCCTTCTCCGTACTTCAGGTCACCTCGGGTCACAACCTTTATATGCTGGATCGCCCGGTCTGACCTCACTGGAAGAGGGAACAAAGGGATGAGCTTAAAGAACAACCAACTCTGCCTGGGATGGGGTGGGGAGGAAGTGCTGGGTGTTGCTCAGCTCTGGTAGACTGGGCACTGGCCCTTTACCCCTTCGTCTGACCTGAGGCAGAGTCTGGGCCCCCTGGGAGGGGTAGGAGTGAGGCAAGAAACCAGGGAGAAGTGGGTCTATCCAGGCTTTGGACCGGGCAGACCAGACGGGTAGCCAGCGCTCCTCACGGCCCTCTGCTCACGTGGGCCTCTGGCTTCCCGCCATTCTCTGAATCAGCTCTTGCTAAGGACCGGGCTGTCCCTGGGGCCTGTGTCCAGCATGGAGCTCAGGTGTTCATTAGACTAGCTGGCTGCGGCTCCGTCACTTCCAGGCCAGGCTCCAGCATTGTCCTCACCAGCAGCTGTCCACCTCCAGGATGTCCACCCAGCAGACTGCAAGGAGGACAAGAATGCCGGTTCCTGCCGCTGTCCTTTCCCCCTTAGCCACAGTCCCTTTATTCCCTTTCTTGCCTATAGAGTCCACAGAGTAAAAGGTCTGCCACCCCCAAGATTAAGGCAAGAAGCAGGGGAAAAGGTAGATGACCTTTTTCAGGCCAGGCTGAGGCCAACCTTTCACTTAACCCCATCTGCCCACATTCACTGACCCTCCTTTGGGAGGGAGAAGCTGCTCTGTAATTCATTCTGGTTGTCACCACCATTTTCCCAATCCGACTGCCCGTCACCTCTTCCCCTCATCACAGTGAGAAAAGGATAATGTGCAAGGATAGTATTTTTATGGATTGTAAATGTATTTTAAAACAAATAAGGAAAAGAAAGGTAGAGGGTTTATTTTACTAAATGAGCTCCGGCTCTGTGACAGTGTATAAACATTTGCTATGGAAGGCTCTCGGTTTCCTCGGAGAAGCCACCCAGGTTTCCAGACACAGGTGTTGCACTGTGGATGTGTGGTGTGTGCCAGGGCACATCTCTTGTGTCCGTGTGCATGCATGTTTGTGTGTGTTGTGTATGGGCACGCTACGGGACTTGCTGGGGCAATTCCTAGAAAATCATCTGCCCAATTCTGACTTTGGCAGCGGCTGGATTTGGCATTTCCTTGCCCACAGCCAGATGTGGCCAACCTCTGTCCATGCCTGAAGCTCTGCAGAATGGTCTGGATGCCTGTAGCCAAGCTGTCAGGGAGGCCACTTGCCATGCGCCTGGCCCAGCTGGCCACATTGGCCAAAGAGCCAGGGCTGGAGTCTGGGAGCTTTGGTTGTTCTTTAAGGCGCTTCCTGCCACCTAGTCCCTCAGACGCACTGCACTCTGTGCTCCACATTGGCTCGGGGTGGGGGGATGATATGAATGTCACAGGAGGAGACACCTTCTGTCTTTGTTTCAAAGAAAGTGATGTGCCATTTGTTAATATACAAGAGAAATATTGAAAATATATTGAAAAGAGCAATTTTAAATTATTTTTGGCTTATGTTGCAATATTTATTTTCTTGTATTAGAAAGATTCCTTTGTAGAAAAAAAATGTATTTTTCATTACCGCAAAGACCTATTTCTCCTTTTTGTACATTGTCCATGTTCGCTACCCTTAACGAGCAATAGAATGTATGGCCTCTTCATGTGGCCAGTGCCCGCTGTGCCCTGCATGATTCTGTGTTGCCACTGCTGCGTAGTTCCCAGTCCCATCCTGTCCTGCTCACTCATGGGGGTTCCAGACCCTGGCCCCTAACGGGTCTGTGTCTTAAGGAGCCCTGTACTCCTCGTGTGTTGGCAAACGCAGTCAATAAAGCAATGTTTTCTGTGCCGGCTGGCCTGAGACTGTTGCATTGAATGGGGTAAGGGTTCAGGGTTGTTCTCTGCACACACCCAGCTATGGATTCCATGAAACAGCAGCAAGTGCTTCCTCAGTATCCCAAGGAAACTGCTGTTACCACCTAGGGAGATGTAACAGCGATGGGCTTGGGGGCTGTGCTTAAGGGCAGGATTGTGTGTGCTTGTCACTGTTGTCATCCCCTGGAATTCAGAGTGGGTGAAGGATATAACCAAAACCACACTTCTGGTAAGAGGTGAAGGTCAGTATCAAAGGCAGTCCTGCTGGACTCCTCCCACAACTTGAGCCACCTACCGGACACTGGGAAGAAGCAGGCATCTGTCCAGAGGGGAGATTTGGGCCCAGGTTTGCTTTCTATTATTTCCTGAATCCCTATTCTGTGCCAGTCTCTGAGTCCTGCCCTCAGTTCAGCAAGGACACAGACAATGAAAAAATGGGATTCTTGTGGAAGCCTGGACTGATCTGGGAGTGGGAGTATTCAAGAAGGAGTTCTCTGAGGAAAAGCTCCATTCACTCATTTAACGAGCCTATGACCATAGTCTTGCTCTGCCTGTATGCTGCCTGTATGTTGCACACCGTGATGGCCCCAGACCCCTGCCTCCAAGAGATGTCAGGGGATGGATATAGAAGCTTGCCTAGTGGGACCTGGATAGGAGGGAGGAACGACAATCGTTTCCCTGGTAGAAAGCTGGGCCTCTGCAAAGATGGAGCAAGCTGTGGTTGAAGGGACCCTGAGAGCCTCAGGATGTGGAAAGGGGCAGGAAGTCAAGGTCTCTTCTGGAGTTAATGATTGCTATCACTTTACCCCCTGAGAATCGCTCCATTTCCTCATCTGTGCAATAGAAGGTATGTTTCCAAGGGCACCTCCAGATCCGAGGTTCTGAGACTCCATGCGATACTGTGATTTCATCTTTTTTTTTTTTTAATACAAGAACCGGAGTACAGGCCAGAGGCGCGGGAGGGTGAGAGGATTCACCAGAGACAGAGCAGGGAACAGAACAGGCAGACTGGCGAAATACACTGCTGAGGGGCGCAGCGAGCGAGTCAGGAGAGGTCTGCCGAGCCATATGGGATTCTCGCCCGCCGGCCGGGAATCGAACCAACACTGCAGAGGCTGAGAACAGCTTCACAGCGCTGCGCTCAACCTGCTGCGCCACCGGGGAGGCCCTGTGATTTCATCACTTAGATGACCAAAATCTATTCCACATAAATATTTCATAGTTCCC